AGAGCCCCCTTCCCGCGGGGGCTGCGGCGTCCCGGGGCCGCCCCCCAGCCGGGCGGGCGGCGATGCCGTGTCTCTTTGGTTCCCCCTCCGCAGCATTATCATGACGGCCTCCTCCACGCTGCTGGCCCTCTTCCTGATGCCCCTCTGCCTCTGGGTGTACAGCCGCCACTGGATCAACACGGCCCTGGTGCAGCTGCTGCCCTTGGGGGCGGTGAGCCTGACGCTGGGCAGCACGCTGCTGCCCATCGGGTTGGGGATGCTCCTCCGCTACCGGCACCCCCGCACTGCCGACCTCCTGGTGAAGGTAGGCAAGGCACTGGGAACGTCCATGGGGACACCTACGGGGCCAGCTGGGAAAGGGAGGGGGAGATGTGGGGATGCAGTAACCTTTCTGGTCCCTCTGAACTGATGGTAGCTTCATGCAGGCGTATTCTGCTGCTTAAGTGGAATACAAGGACATACAGTCTTGACGTAAAAGGGTGGAACGGAGACAGAAAGTGAGGGGATGGAAGGTCACCCCCCTCCCCAGCGCACGGGAAGGAGGGCAGCATGGTGCTGCACCCTGGGCCCAGGAGCAGAGGCATTCCCTGGCATCCTGCTTCCTCCCTGCTCCCGCTACACCCAGGGCTAGCAAAGCCAACCCGCAGGCATGGCGACACTTCCTTAAAGCATGCAAACAAATTAGCTTAATTAAGAAAGGAAAAGCGAGGCACGAGCCCTGGCTCTCTAGTTTCCCAGCAAGTCACCCCAAAGCAAAATGATGGAGGGTGATCTCAGCCCCTTTCCTTCCCGGGACATGATCAAACACCACCGAAGTCCCAAGCCAGGAGAAAACCCGGGAAGGGCGGCACAACCACAGTTTGCAGCTTAGGCTCTATCAAGCCTCTACTTGCCATGATTATCCTTTTAAAATAATAACCCCCATGTTGTTTATTAATGTCTGTATCTGTTGCCAGATTTCCCTGTGGTCCCTCTTGGTGACTCTGGTGATCCTGTTCATCCTGACTGGGACCATGCTGGGCCCAGATCTGATGGCACATATTCCTGCGTCTGTCTATGCCATTGCGGTGCTGATGCCTCTAGCGGGGTATGCCTTGGGATATGGCTTAGCCACAGTCTTTAAAATGCCCCCACACTGCAGGAGAACAGTGTCTTTGGAAACAGGGTGCCAAAACGTCCAGCTCTGCACTGCCATCCTAAAACTCACCTTCCCCCCGGAGCTCATAGGGAGCATGTACATGTTTCCCTTGCTTTACGCGCTTTTTCAGTCAGCAGAAGCAGGACTCTTTGTGCTGCTATACAAGATGTATGGGAGAGACAGCTACAAACAAGATACGCTTGGTGAAGAGGAAGACACGGATATTTCCTACAAGAAACTGAAGGAAGAGGAGGTGGCTGATACTTCGTACGGCACAGTGACCACAGAGGAGCACAACTCCGTTCAGCTGGAGCTGACACAGACGGCACTTTAGGCGAGATAAGGACACCCAGGGATGTGTGATGTGTGTTGTGCTTGCAACCAGGCCAGGGCTGCGCTTGCTGCCGCGCATGTGGAGCTGCCTGACCTCCATCGATTCTCCATCCACTCCCATTGTACAAGGTGATGTGTGTTCATTACCGTGACAGTTGTATTTCCTCAAAACTACTTTAAAAATTAAAAAACAAAGCAAAAAGTATTGCTGCGATGCAAATAGCCATATGTCTCCAGGCAAGGAGGCTCCTGCCCACCTGAGTGTTTTTTTTAATGGGTACGAGGAAGAAGACCAGCGTTTTGCAGAGGCAAAGCGAATGCAGCGCTGCACCAGCGCAGACGAACGGGCAAACACCTTGCGCGCGTGTATCTCTGTGCCTCCCACCTGCTGTAAAAGCATTGTGCTTTTGTCCTCACCGCAAATACATGGCGAAGCTGAACCAAACCCCTGTTGCCCCCTGATTAATCCCGCGGGGACGATTAAGGGCCGCGCCGTTTGCTTGACCAGGGGAACTGTGCCGGGGGGGGTGTCCTGCCCGAGGCCCCACACCGGGCAGGGATGGGAAGGGGCCGCTCCAGCCGGCGCCCGTCGGGGGCGGGGGGAAGCCCGGCCCTGG